AAAACCGCAGAACTTTTCGGATGACCCAATAAAAGAAACTAGTCTTAAGACTCTTTCTATTTTCTTGCGAACTATAACGTTGATACGATGTATGACAATTCTTTCAACCTTATATTTAACATAGGTTTCGCTTATTTTCAATAAAATCTTGAATTTACGACAATGATAATGAAAGCGATATTACATTTTTTGTGCAATATAAAAATATGATTACTATAAATTGCGTATTATTATGTCAGAATGGGAAATAGAAGATTTTTATCGTTTCTCCACGGATGTGTGTTACTCGGTAGCGCACAAATTTGCGAAACAATTTTAATATAAGTAGCTTTATATCAGGATGATATAAAATATAAATCATCAACAATGACAGTAAAATCATCAATGACAGTGAGTAAAATGACAGTGAGGAGAATATTTTGCCTTTTACTTACAAAACTGGAAAATATATTTTTAATTTCGATCTAGGATATTAGATTAGCACGCATACATCGAAATTTATTGCGTGAATAGATTACGAAAATTTCGGTAACCATCTGAGTAACATATAACTTTTTATTATTATATTTACACATAGTTTCTCATCGATATATAGATATACGCATAATATTCCATCCAAACAAATCGATCGATCAGAAGAGAGGGAGTTAGGACAATATCGCGCAATTGCATAGAAATATGAACGACGCGGCAGTAAACATATACGAGATACACGAGCCAATGTACAATGCAGATTCCGTCAAGAGGTAACAATATAGGCTACAGAAATTAATAGACAAAAATAAGTTCGTAACTAGTGTAGAAAGATTTTCGTTTAATTTCAAACAAGCAGATGAGATTACCACAATTATAAATACGAATGCAAACAATAAAAACATAAGAAAGGTGCTGGACTAAAGTATAGTTTACACATGTACATCTTATCCAGGCAGCCAAATATGTCGAAAATAAATTTTTTTTAAATCTGCAACAAAATTTGTTGGCAGGATGCCAGCAGAAATATGACAAAATTGACTAATGGAACTTGATAGCAAGAAAAATTGATAGTAGAAATAGAATACAAAAATGATGAATATGTTCTGTTTGAATTATTACAAAATGACATTCTATATACTTGCTTTCTTCTAGCAATCTGCTATCAAGCTAAATTGGCAGAATATGAACTTAATATTGAACGTAACATTGATGCCAATCTATTGCAATATTCTGCTCAAATTCCTGGTAAAGAAAAAATCTAATAATAATTCAAAAAATATTTTTAAGAATTTTTAATATTTTTAATTAATAAAGATTTCTATAAAAATTAAAAAAACCTTCAATCTTTTCAGATTTTATAAGTTTTTTCGGAAATTACGGAATGAGAAATTTTAAAATATTTCAGAATTCACATACATAAACAATTTTAGAAAAAATGTAATCGTATAAAAAGATCTGAGAAATTCTGAAAAATTTTTACCAGGGTATCTGCTGGTAAACTTCTAGCACAGCAACGTTTCTTGTTTGCTGAGCAGTTTTAATTTGAGTTTCAGCATATTACATACCTACTCACAATTAATACTGATCTATTGTACATACAATCGAGAACAAAAATATTGTTCTATTCTGATGTAATAAAATTAATTAAAATGCATCGAGCTTCTCCTTCAACGACCGATTGACCGACCAATTATCGAAGAGAGACGCGCGATAAGATTAAAAGAAGAAATTCGATACAAAGCATATAGTTTTACACCTGAACTGGACAGCTGCATATTTTGCTCTTCACTGTACTCTCACGCACAATTATAATTCTTAGAATTATACTTTGAATTATGTGCTGTCTTACCGCAATTTTATAATTTAATTATAATCTGATACTTAAAATGAATATTATTGTTTGTATATTAATTAATTTATACGAGTATAAACATACGTATGTTTACGTATAAAATACAAATATATGAATATTTTTCCAAAGTTACGACTAATTGTGAATTTTGGAAATACGCGCCTATATTTATAATTTTGAAAACATGAAAAATTGTTTCATATTTAATCTAATTGTTGTATTTTGTTTAATTGCAACACAGTGTGGAAGTAATAAAACGCCTTTTAAAGTTAGTCATTTGTTTAGATATTTTTCGTATACACACATGCGTGCGCGCGCGCGTTTTGTATAATTTTTAGTATAAGAGAAAAATTATGAAAACACCTGCGTGTGGTGTTCTGTAAACTATACTTTTACTCCTTAAGAAAGATTCCGTTTATGTACAAGATACTAATAATTATATATAGAAATTGTTGAAAAATATTCAATAATTATATAATAGATTTAAATTCTAATATGTAAAAGCAGTCACACACTTTAATTATACTAACATATTGTTCATGTATAACATCAGTGCCGTTAAGATTTGTAATTTTGGGCTTGAAATTGAAATATTGTGTCGATGCTTTATATATGCCTATTAAATTAAACTCATATTCCTCACTTCACAGCTGTTTTCTCGTAGTGCACGAAAAAACACTCGGTTAGAAACCAGATTAATCTGAAATTATTAAGTTTTTTTACGTGTGACACACTTGCACTTAAAAAAAAAAGAACGTATTTTTAACAGTACTTTATAAGTAATTTCAAAAACCTATATTGATAAACCATAGATAACTAATATAATACACTATTAATGATATATTCCGTGGTTTTATTAATATAATTACAATAAATGTACGAATAGCTCGTATACCAATTATATATATATACATAGGTATAAAATTATATTTTAATACGTATTACTTAACATATGTGTTATTTTTTATAGTTACTTATATTAAGAACTGTATTTCATAACAATAGTAATAAAATATACTTTTGAGAACAGTGGGTAACGCACGTTCAAAACTTTTAACAATCTCAAATCTAGTCTTATTCCCGAGCGACGGAGCTTCGCGCAAGAAAATCAGTTGCAAAGTGAAGAATAAGAATGATAATATTATAGGCACGAACAATTCAATTTTAAGCCCAAAACTACAAATTCTGGATAGTAAGACAGCACTGATGTACATCATGCATTGACATGTATTTTTTTATAAAGCCAGATACAAATAAATTCAAGCTTTTACGAGGTGTTCTTGCTTCTATATTGCTCGCCATTCCAAATTTTTCGAATGTTCCCACCTTTAAGCCTGAAAGCTACGTACTATACAGTTTATATTAAGTATTACGTTATAAATAATTGTGCATTAATAAAAAAATGTAAATAAATAGATTGATAAAGATAGTTTTTTTACAATTTACATCTTCCGCGAAAAAGAAAATCAAAAACATCCTCGAGGTATCGATTCAAATTTATCGATTTTAAACCCGGGAGAAGTCGACATTCGATATATCAAATAAGCGGCCGTGATTCCCTATCGCCTATCTCTGCCTATGGAAAGTTTGAGGTTACTGTTATTCCGATTTGTTTGAAATACGTTGCGATGCATCGTGTGGCGACGTATTTCTGTTGATTCGTAAATTCGTTGATTCGCTTGTCATTCCCAATTAAATTCCTCCTCGTGTAACCGCCAGGATGTCCGTAAGTACGAAACTGTATAACTCTTACTTTTCTATAATCTCGTTTAAGCTTTGCCCCTCGAGAGTTAACCTCACAATTTTCTGTTTACAGGCGCCGAAACAGGTAACGCGTTTTTCTCATACGTGTTTAGTAGGGAATTAATCACAAACCTTAGCATATCCTTCGTATTTTTGTAGCAGCAGAATGTTGAACATAAAGAGAAGAAGAGGAAAGAGAGTATTCTTGATCTGTCCAAGTATCTCGAGAAGAACATAAGGGTCAAATTTGCTGGTGGCAGAGAAGCCGAAGGTATACTTAAAGGTTATGATCCTTTACTCAACCTGGTACTCGACAATACGAAGGAATATCTCAGAGGTGAATGATGATTAATAATATGCTATTTAATTTGTCAATTACAAAAACAATTGTAGATTTTAACCTTACGTCATATCATTTTATGCATCTACCTAATGCTTTTTTATGTATATTTTTAACAAAACTCGAAAGCATTAATAAATATGTGATATATTGTTTTTATTAAGATGACTGCTTTTTAGGAGCTCATATATTTCATTTAAAAATGTAAAAAGTAATTCTAATTACAAAATTATTAGTATTCATGTGTAAAGAAGCGAACTGTTTTTGTATTTATTTTTGCTTATTTGAAAGTGCAAAAGTGTACATCGCAAATTGTAAATTTTTGCTTAATTGCAGTTATATTTGATTTTTAAGTAAACATTTTGTAACACAAACAATTCTCTTAATTTTAAAGATCCAGACGATCCGTACAAATTAAATCAGGACACTCGTATGCTGGGTTTGGTAGTGTGCAGAGGAACATCCGTAGTGCTTATATGTCCTGTAGACGGCATGGAGTCTATTCAGAATCCATTCATACAACAAGAAGGATAAACAGGTCTTTATCAATATATCTTAAAAAAGAAATCATCCTTTTGAATATTATTTCCATTTTTTAAATAAAAATATAATTTATTTTGCATTATAAATTGAGGAATCTTATATATGTAGGAAATAAATGCCATTTTCTTAGATACACGTATTTTTTATATCTATGTTTACAATAAATAATACGATTGCACATCTAAGCAAGGTACTATGTGAACTCTCGATGATGTATAAGCAACATATGTAGGATAAGTCCTATAAGTTGCTTTTATCATTTTTTTCACTCAATTCCGAATTCGTTTCTTAGCCATGGATATTGTTTCGGACATTCGAAACATGTATGTAAATACCTGTATGATTTAAGTACTTTACTGGGTAATTTGCAACTATTCGGCAAGTCACAGGCTATCTCATACGGTTCAAAATGTCGCTTTGTGCATTGCCATGGGGTGAACTTTTCAATTTCATTCAGAGGTGTTGGTCTGCGCATCCACTCTACAATCTGATGACTTGTGACAAAAAACACATCGTCCAGTCGAAGTAGATCGTCGACGAATTTCTAATTACATATGGAAATAAATATTATTGATTAAATAGAAATAATAAAATTAATTAAATTAGGGTAATTAGACAAATCTGTTAAAATGGTAAAGTTAAAATAATCTTGAATAAGTTGTATTTTCTTAGTTCTATAATTTCGAGTACTGCAATTTTTTAAATTAATAACTGCATAACGATTAATTGACTAGGTTTTCTTCTAAAAATAGAATAAAAAATCAAAATAATGATAATAAATATAACATCAAACAATCTCGTTTATATTGTAGTTAATAATAAGCACCGTTGATTTTAATACTTAAAAAAAAGTTCTACTTACATTAAATGCATAAAAGTACATTGGGTTTTGAAACCATGATGCATGAAAATGTAGGCCGAGAGGTGCGCGATTAGTAAGATAATGTCTTTTAAAGTTCAGCATGAGCATCTTATAAACTTCTTCGCCAGATAAATCAGCGGGACATGAATCCACAGTACTGCATGTGTAATCCTAAACATAAGTTCTCTAACAATAAATATTATTTCTGTAAAAATAATATAAAAAAAGAGATAATAGAAACCAACGATCAACGATTCTATACGAAAGTATAGAAAAACATTATTATCCATTTCGATTTTTTAAAATCGTCTTCAACATGAAGAGTATAAATTAAGTTTAATTTACAGACACTAGCATGAAAAGAAAATTCCAAAATCTCGATTATAAGATCCATAATCTCGATTTTAATCATCTGATCTTTCTCATCTTTTTACACAACACAGAAAGAGATTAAATTTTATATTGTCATATATTACAATGTTTCATAATTAACAATCTTACATCGAAATGGTCTCAACTTTTTGTTTTTATTTGATACTTATCGACTTTCCATTCGGTACGTTGCACGTGATTTACGTACATTTGCCAAAAGTTGATTTAAAGGTAATTCCCAGATATTCGGATAAGAACGGGTAGGACAGAGTTGCCCTGCACGGACGCACGGATGCGGCGGCCTGTAGTCAAGCGTATAGGGCCAGAAAGGTGGATCGGAGAAAGGTGCGACGATCGAGGAATCATAAACGAAACCAAACTCAGACATCATCAGAAACTGGCGATTCCATCCGACCTGCAGAAACGGTGCTCTTACCCCTACGACATTGCATATATATTACTTTATAATAAATACTCGATATTCTCGTGAATACAGATTATATGTTGGAAAAACCCATGCAATATATTTGTTACAATCAAATTATATAATTTAAATTTATATTTACGCTTGAAAGTTCTGTCAATAATAATGACGTGGGCCTTTTCTTTCCAATATAATCTTGATATTGTACGGAACTGAAAATGAGACTTTTACCTTTGATTTCGCCGATACGAACCGCTGCAAATTTTTTGATGATATTGGCTACTCCGACCATCTCGTCGAACCAGTCTTCAATCGTCGCATTCTTCGACCACCATTCTTCCGGTCCACGATGTCTAAGAAATAATTTTTAATGCATTTTACGTATCGACTCAAATGATTCTTAATACTCGTAACTTTTTTATTCTTCTCTTTTTCTTAGCTCCTCTTTTTCTTTATATTCAAAATACTTACGTAACGGAATGCGCGGCTATTTCGTGACCGGCGTTCCATAAATATTGCACATCCCTGTAATTCGTATACTGATGGCTGATATAAAAAGTACCCTTTATAGGACAACCATTGGGATTTTTTCTGTCATCCGTAAAAATTTCTATAAATAATCGAATCATTATTTTTTATAACAATTTGTTCCGAGAAATCTCTAATATTATTATGAGGCAAGGAATGAATTAAAATTAGAATTTAAATGTACTAATGTAATTATCCCGAAATAATTCTATTGATCTAGATTATTGCAGATTTCTCTTGGTTTTCTAAATACAAAAGAGCTTAAATTGATCGATAGTATTAACTTCTAATTAACTTACTTGAATAGAGTTCGAAATTTTCAGCATTTACAGCGTCATCAAAAGTAATTGTTATCATTTGTGGAATTGCGAGTGCAGTGAGATTTCGTGGAATTTGAGTCCCCTCCTTAGAACACCAACAATTTGGTAATTGGCATTTTTCGGAGTCACAAACCGGCGCGGCATTTACATCATGTTGCATGTCTATAAAAGATAATATTTTTATTAACGACGTATACTGTAAAGGTTATTTTATTTTCATAGTGTAATGAAAAAATAAAAGTATCATTTTTCATATTTTCTTATTTATGAACAAAAGTAAAGAATTAAGTATCTGAATCAATCGTGGATTGTTTTAAACAAGTAAGATAGAAAAATACTAACACAAAGCGGATCTTAGTGCTTAATAATATTTTTATGTATGAATCTCACAATATTTCAGTTCAAGACAAACTGCGCGCCGATCTTTAAAATTTTAAAACGCACGCTCCAAACTGAATAGTAATATCATAATTGCCAAGGTATTTAATTTGGAGCTGCGTTTATAAAACCGATAATTATCATACGGTGCGCAGTTTATCTTGAAAAATTGTAATATTCACATATATATAAAAATGCTATTAAGCACCAAGATCCGCTTTATACCGCGTTGAATTTTTCTCATCTTATTTGTTTAAAAGTAAAAATTTGAAATATTGCACAAAATAACATAACTTGGGAAATTATAGATGACTCAGAAATTATTATTATAAAAAATTTTTTTCTCAATTATTTTATACTAATTTTAATGTTTTATATTTGAATATTTAATTTTATCGTAAAACTATCTCTATAAGTGAAAAACATTCCTCGAAGATCATGCTGGCTGAAGTAAGCCAGCTCATTGTCAGTGAGGAACATTCCTATGTGTGCGAATGAATAGTTTGATGTAATATATGTCTGCGCATTCTTCGCATTTCTTACCGCACCATCCTTCATCGGAGCCATCGGGACAATCGACGCTCCCGTCGCAAAAATAAAGAGCCGGAAGACACGTGCCATCTCCGCAAGCCAAACTTTCCTCATCACACTCGCCATTCTTGAGCAGTGGCTTCGCCGGTTGGGCATCTACGAAATACTTTGAAAACTTCACATCACCATTCGAGTACATAGTATAACTATACTTCTTTAAACTACAAAGGATTGCATATATTGAGAAGATTGTATGAGTTTTTTTACGAGAAAAAGATTTATTTTTACTAAAAAAATTAAAACAAAAAGTGGAAAAAGTTAATAAAGAATTATATGTGTTGCGTATATTTTATCTGAAATAAAAGTTAAAAAATGTCCAACTTTGCACTTTGGTTATAATAGTATTATTTGCGGTAAATAACTAAGTATATTAGACAGTTTAAGGGTTCTAATGATAGGTATGTTCCAAATTGGAAATTCCAGTGAGAGATTCAATGTCCACAAACAAAGAAATGACTAACTTGTCGCCACTGTATGATTTTCCGGGTGAAAGTATTGCGTATATAACACTCGATCGCTTTCTTAAGAGTAGAAATCGGCATAAAGTTTGTTTGTAGTCGCAGGGCCTCGTCTGCGTTTCGTTCGCACGTTTCAGAGCAGATTTAGCATAAATCTAAAATATACCTGAAGTTACGTCGCAATTATCGACGTTTGTCTTAAAATCGCAAATCTGCCTGGAGACATCGAAAAGAAGTCCTTGCGAGCATTTGAATTCAAACACTTCATTATCTGAAATATAATTTAACGATGTAACAAGCATGAAATTTTCTTTGGATTTTAGACTATAAATAATATGATATAGTCACAATCACGATTTACGATAAATCAGTAAGTATAATAAAAATAATATAATAAATAAGATAGTAGAAATAATAGAAACAACTATAAATAACAAGACGTTTTTTTAACGCAGAAATTATAAAAATATTCAGGTAAAAGTATAAGAAAGAATATAGTATGTACATTATGTTTTTATATGTAAAATAATTTTTTAATATTACATATGATTGCATTTGTAATTACAAATATTAATTGTTTCCATAAGTCTTCATAAGTATGTAAAAAAAAAGAAAAAATAAGATTTTTAATTATTCAAATAATCATCCTTACAATGAACAAGGGCGGCAACTCCCTTTTCTTATGCATATAAGAATGTCTTGGTTTTGCAATTTTAATGTAAAAACTCACGTAGAGAAATATAAAATTAGATATATTTCAAAATACATTTTATTATGTGTTTTAAATATGTTCGACTATGTTTTTACATGTCTCAACGAAACTAAGACGTATAAAAATATCGTCGTCGTTTTCCTTAATTTTAATTCTAGATAAGGACAAACAATTAATAAAGGTTAATTGATAGTTTAAAGGAATTTTCTTTTTTTTTGTACGTGTAATCTATAATTACCTAAGCAGAGAAAATATTTAGCACATTCTGTAGGTGACCAGACGCTGTGTGATGGTGCCTTAGGATTACGATAGAACTTGTTGTCGTCTATACAAGGAACTTCTTCGGATTTTCCTTTCTCCGCCACGATTCGCTGAAAACATCACGACGTAGAGGTATAAGTTGTGTGACCTACATTTTCCTCGTTGCCAGATATTCAAATATCAGTAAACTTTTTTTTTTACAAATTCATAAGTAGTAGCAAAATATTATTGATTAAACGTAAGAACTTTCACTCAAAGTACCTTATCAGCCACATATGCACGCGCGCGCGAAATTAATGATATAGTCAAAGAAGTATCAATCGCGAAATTAGACTATTTTCAACAATAATTTTTTTTCACGGCAATAGCTTGTCATTTTAATTATTTGTAACTAGCAGTTTGCAATTCTTTTCTTGGTTTTTTTGCAATATTTAAAGACACTTAAAATAAGGATCTTAACAAATTTTTAAATTAAGTGCCTATTTAAAAATAAGACAAAATTGATATTAAAAATAAAAATCGCTGGTTTTATAAAAGAAAAAAATTTATTTCAGATTTGCAAATTAGGAGCAAAAAACTTTGTAATTAAAAGAAAAACTACGATCCGTCAGATATTTTCTATAGAGTTTATAAAAAAATATTTATTCTTTTATTCAATAAAATTAATAAAATAGAGACCATTTTAAAGAAGAATGAGTATCAAAAATTGAAATGATTTCAATGTTCTACGGTTTCAAGATTATCTTTAGGCGTGCGATACTTTCACGTTCCGTCTCACTGTTCAGAAACAGATATCTGTAGCGTGCGATGTACACTTGTTCCAAGAGAAATCTCATGCGATTAGCGCCATCGTTTTCACCCGAATGTAAAAACGGAAATGAAACTTTCGGCGCGCATTATTGTTTAAAAAATTGCACATCTAATTTGTTCTTTTCTTCATTCAGCTGCTTATATACTTTGTAAAACTGGCAAATTGAAATCGATATAATTTTTATATAATAAATTTTATATTATTTTGCAATAAATAGGAGAAAAAGAGAAAGAGAGAGAGAATTTATTTAATACAAAACAACTTATTTATATAAAAAAAGTTTTTAAATTATATGAAAGTTTACATGAGTATTAAATCATTTATGAAATGATTTAGTTTTATATGAAAAATATTCATATTTTTTTTAAATAAAATGAAGCATTTTAACTATGTCTATGTTTAGTTCCTCAGCTGTAGTTTCCCGGATAGCACGTACGTCCAAAAACGGGACGTGGTCTATTGTTTGGCTCTTGTTTAAACATTTTGTTTGTAATTACATAAAAGATATTGTTGCCAAAAATTATTTTGTGTTTAAACTTACCTATATTTTCTCTTGCTATACAAAAATACATTACATTACTTTTTGATCTTACTGACATGAATGAAGAAAGGAGTTTATTTAGTTATTTTTGCTATCTTTCTCTCTCCTCTTTCTCTTTCTTTTACTCTCAGATTTACAATCAGAGATTCTAAATCTGAGAACATATTTCACTTTCTTGTTTACTTAAATGAAAACATGTTTTAAAGTGTGTATATATATATATATATATATATATATATATATATATATCTTTTCACTTTGCTTTTTTTATTTTTGTCATACCAAAATCACATATGCCAGCAGATAAACTCATGCAAGCTTTGATTATGCACTAATTAATATAAAAATTTTGATTATTTAATTAAATTAATAAGCTTAGATTATATATTTTCTAAGAGTTTTAGTCTCATGTAATATAAATGGTAACACATATGCAGATAGTTTATTTTATCTTTCCATAGCATCGAATAAGCATGAACATACCAATATTATAACAATCTAATAATAAAACATTTTTTAAATTCTTGTCATTATCTAAATCTATCCATGTCAGATTAACAAAACTCTGTTACCTGAGTAAAAGAATAAATACAAAAGATCGTCGTGCTGTCCTCAGGCAACTACTATTGCAATAATAAGCTAAAAAAACTGCTTAATAAATTATGTTATAAAAATATGCAAGTTTGTACGTCGAGTAAGATTTATGCGGCATCTTAAATAAAGTTTCTGAGAATATACTATATATAGAATGTATATTTGTTTTAAAAGTTAACACGCAATGTGTAGTATTAAGATATTAGAGAATTATTTTTTTAAATAAAATTTTGCCAATATTTATTGAAACAAGAGCCATATAAATGCATTACGAATAGTATCGTTAGAAATGGAACATCTCTATATTATATCACTTGTAAACTCAATGCTTTCGATTTCGTGAGACTTTGATTGACATTTAATAAACAGGTTGGCGCGCAATTCGACGTGGAAAAACACTTGCACTCACGAACACTTCTGAAATTGTGAAACTCACCGGAAACGGCGAGAAACGCGATCAGCACAAAACGAAGTCTCGACCACATGTCGATCTTTTGCGCGCGGATTTGTACCGGTACCACGCGCGACAGCTCGCACTTTCAAACTGACGACTGCCTACGAAAGTATGCCTTATATGACGAGTATCTGCTTCATCGCGCTTAATCACGCGGGATCTCTTCCAGACTATTTTCACTCGTCTCTAATAATAATCACGATATACAATATAGTAATTTCGAATATATCACATGAATGTACGTTTAATGATACATTTTTCCATGAATTTCGTCAATCGATGAGAATATGAAATCACCATTTATTGCCGGCTTTCAATATTATAACATCGTATACCTTTATAATTAAAAATAAACTTTAAATTTATAACGCTGCGAAAGTAAAATGTACTTACAATACTTGCAATAATAATTTTGTTATATAATATATTAAATTACACTTTTTTAATTTATAAAATAATTCTTATTTTTAATCGTTAATTATTGAAAAATAATTACTGCTTTGGCATTTTAATTTTCAATCGAGAAAACGTTGTCGCATTTGTCGAATTGCAACTTTAACGTCAGTTAATCGAAAAACTTTGTTGGAAATTATAAATATTATAATGATAAATATTAATTAGCTTAACATAATTAGTTTAAATTATTATTTAATTTTAAAAATATAGAAACTTTAAATCCGAATAAATCAAATAATTTATTATCTAAAGAATCGAATCTCTTCGAATAAATGATTTTGAATTCAAAATATTTATTGACTACAAAAAAATAAAGATAAAGATAATAAGAAACTAATTATTATTAAGTCAACGATATGCACGTATATTTTATATTATATTAATTATAAGCGCGATATAAAATTATGTATAATTTTAATAAATGTTGGCACATCTATTGTATATTGTGGACCTTTCTATTAAATACAACATAAAATTATTCAAGATAATGAAAATTTTTATTTGCCTACTATAGCCAGTAATACATAACACTTAATATTTAAAATGATTTACAATATGATAAAATGTTTATTTAAATCGTGCTTATAATGTTTATAATGCACAATATAAAGTTAAAACAAGATTAACTTCCCGAGATTGAGTAATTGGAATGCTTGGGTTGAATGTAGTTAATTGTCGTATTTATAATTTATTGAGCAAGCCTTTAAAAGCTCAGCTTTCAAATATTTGGGAGAATTTCAATACCGACCGCTAAACTAACTGAAACTCGAGATCAAGTTTAACGGACTCTTCAAGATAGAAATAGCAGCTAATTATTTATAAAATCTGCTCGGAGAATTGGATTAAGAACCGGTATAACGGTACATTAATTATATCAATCGATTCCTTTTATTCCTTTTTTTGTACAAGCGTAATTCTTGTAGAAGTAGAGAGACGGATATACAAGTAGAACGGAATGTAATGGTTTTCTTTATTGGAGAGATTTCAGTTTAATTTCTTAATATGTTATTTCTTAATAAAATTGTATATTAAAACTTCCATGTGACAAGGATTCGAGAAAAATATCTTTTTATTCTTTAAACTTATTTAATTCTTATATACAAGAAATGTGCATATATATGAAAACAACCTTCTTGCATAAATAGGCGTATTATAAATGTGTTATAAGTTTAACATATATTTTGAATGTAGAGATTATTAAATCGTATAGAACAGCGTGATGTGTGTCTTTGACTTCTAAACATGTTAATCAAATAATGATGAAAATATTAAAATATTATATTTATTATATTATGTAATATACGTTTTTTATATATTTTCATCCTTATTTGATTGACATGTTACAAAAAGTGATCTAAAAAAAAAAGGGTTTTTTCGCCTGTTTTTTGGGCCCTCGATTTTGGGGTAATTGTCATTGGGATAATTGTGATTGTCAGTAACATTAAAGCATTAGAGGGACTGTGTATTTGACTGTAGGTATTGCATGATTTACCAAGCATACTGTTAATTAATTCAAAACAGATTCAAATTTAAAATCTCAGACGAGTGGAAAATTAAATGAATATATATGGCTCGATATTGCCAATTCTTGAATAGCATTAACACTGTATAGCTTGTAATATATTTCGAAGACTCGGGGTCCACAGAAATGAAATAAACATATTATCGAAATGTAACGTGATTGTATTATGTCACAATGACTTAAAACACAATGAATTAAAAATAAGTCTTATTACGCAAATTACAAAAATTGTTCGGTTATCTATTTTTTGTTATAGCTGCGTTTTCCTCTTTTTGTGCTATATTCCTTTATTTATGAGATTTTTATATAAGAATTTTTATTTTGACGAAAGCTCAATTTACATTTTAACTAGTGTTTTTCATGGACTTCCACTCACTGAAACTAACGATTATTAAAATTGTTAGATGTACTGCGTTCTCATTTGGATGAAATTTGAGAAATAGTGGAAAGGCATGTCTGAAAAATACAGTTGTTGGTAATGATAGGTACATTACATACGCATATATTTATTTGGGTCCTGTGATCCTGTATTAACGTGTCAAGTAACTTTCGAAAGGTGAAACTCTCGAATGGTTTCTTTTGCAAATATCCACTTTTGTACCACGAATATTTAAACAAATGATACATCAAGGAGAAGATAACTGAATATTTACAAAGAGAAGTAACATAAACTATAGATTTCTTTAGAATTTTCGTATGCAAAATTTTTCGAGAATAAAGCCAGTTGTACACACAGTTCTAAAAAATTCAATTTAATGCATAGATTTCCGTTTTATTTGATTGTATTGGTAATTGCAAAGACAGGAAGACAAAGTGAATAATCATGTGTAATTATTTTCCAAGATTTTATACACAAGCTAAATATTATAAATTATTGCAACTTTGTACATGTAAGTACAATAGCTTTGTCGTACATTTTCGTATGCAAAATTTCGAATGTAAGTCTCCTAAATAGAAAATGACTAATAATTATTATTTATAAAGAGAGAAACAAGAAACACCAATTTTTAAAAGTTATGGTTGAAACAATTATCACGTTAATCTTTTCTAAAATCAATTTAACGAAAAATATTATAGTAATAAAGAGTTAACAATAAATTTCGAGACTTTCGAGATTTCGATTATTGTACTATCGATTTAACATGCCTTTTTTAGAAATGGATCGATGGATATTTAAAATTTAAAAAACAAAACAAAATTGTCTTTATAAATAAGGACTTCACTCTGCGCATGTTATTATTATTTCCTGCTTTGATCGTTCGCTGGTAAAGAATATAATGTGAAACAATCTGGTGGATGCGCAGTCGTTCAAAAGTAGTGGGGTGCAATGAACCAATCAGCTTTTCCCCAAAATGCAAAATTTAGTAATTTTCTCCATGGTGGGAACATGTTTCACCTTATACCCTTTGTATCATATACGTTTGCTTCAGTGACTCTATATTTTTGATCGGGTGAACACTGTTATAGAAAGTAATAGGTTAAATTGAATCTCTCAATTAAATGATATCTGATCGTTTTCGATTCTATTTTTAATAAAAACTCGTAAATTAATCTCAATTATTTTATCAGGTAAGAAACAATATAAAATATTATTTTTATATTGTGCGTTAAAGCACATTTCAGTACTTAATTTAATGCATTAATCATCATTTATATACTGTTAAATTAATTGACAACTTTTACTTCAGTCTACGCATGAAATCTTGGAAAATAATTGTGAAAACACTCGTTCTTTCATTGCAAATACCAGCTGAACAATCGGATAAAACAAAAACCATGTTAAATTACATTTAAACTTGTAAATTGAAGTTCGCACACACACATTTTGCATACATTTAATAAATATTTCTAAGAGCTACAACGAAAATCGCATTTTACTGTTGTGTGAGCATTTTACAAACAATAATAGGTTGACTCAGCTAAATGATTGTTTCTAAATTTCGAGGAAAAATCGTTTACATCGGTCCTAATTATTTTATTAAGTAAGTAACAATACAAAGTATTATTTTCAGATCATGTGTAAAAGCGCATTTCAATACTTGATTAATTAGATTTTATATAATATTATATTAATTGACAACATTTATTCTTCAGGCCGTGCATGATCTTGAAAAATAAGTAATTGCTACTATTCATACTTTCTCACTGTTGCAAATATCAAAACAATCAAATAAAAAGAGAAACTGTATTGATCTTACAATAGTATAAACTACAAACTGAAGTGTACATTTTTTTTGTAAATTTAATAACTTTATAAAATTAAGACACACACACGACGCATATTCCTCAACTTTTACAAAATATTTTACATAATTATATAATCTGTTATTTGCAAAAATGGAGCAGTTCCAAATATCCGCACCAGGCAGATTATGCTTATTAGGTGAACACACAGATTTACGCACCAGATTAAAATTCATCCAAACACCGATTCGGTCTATCAACAATATTGAAATATATTTTCCTAAAATCAAATTATCATTTAAAATATCAATAAATAATTTTACATTGATATTTAATAAATGCGTCAACAATATGTCGCATAAAAATGTATTTGATTTTATTGGATCATATGAACCAGAAATATTATACTCAGAAGAACAAAAAATATTTCTTAATTCATTTTTTTACTTACTCGGTTATATGATCCACAAAGAAAAGATTAAAATAAAATCTTTTACTATAAATTTGTCAACACAATTAATGATGGATGATCATTTCGTCTGTCCGGCATCATTCGTAGTATGTCTCGCGGCATGCTTGTTACATTGGTCACGTCTGCAAAAAGGCATTTGCCGCGCTTTCGAAATAACCGATCTCACAAAAATTTACACATATGCTGCACATTGCGATAAAATCTTCTATAAATCGACGCTAACGGATGTGATTGTTTCCACATTTGGCTATCTCATGACATATCAGATTGACAAGAATGAGCGTTTGATTTTACTGCTTGACTTGCCAAACATGACGATACTGCTTATAGTTGATTCAATACGAGTGCAAAATGAAATTAACCAGGAAAGGTGGGAAGAATTAGTGAAAAAGTTTTCCAACATTGTCAATTCTATCTTAGACAACAATAATTATTGTCCAGTCATTATGAATTGTGATTGCACATTAAAAGAACTTGATATCTACGTAAATGATTTTCTCACTATCAATAAGGTAGTAATTAATAATTGTCCCTTGGTGCAGCACGAAAGATTGGAGGTAAATCCTATTACGTAAACTACAAAAAATGATATATCGTGATTAGAATCTATTATATTCTCTCTAGCTTGTTTAAAAATGATTTATTATTTATTATTTATGTGTTTTCCCATTTTCTTCACATACCTTATCGAGCTTGCATTTGAAAATTTATCTATTGTCGTATTTTTGCATACTTGAATCAATTTATAATGCATGTTTTTTTCTCATTCACGAGAAACCAAATTTACCCCAATTGACATATTGCATAACTGTCTGCAGAAAATGTATACAATAGCGAAAGAGGAGCACCCAGAAGTTATGAAAGATGTGCCACATGTATGCGTTTGGAGTCCAGTATACACAAATAGAGAGAAAAAAAATAAAACGGAGGGATCTCAGTCTTCCGACTTGAATAAGGAAATAATTAGAAACGATATTGAAAGGTGCTTTACTTATAACAGAGTAAGAATTGAATGAATGTTATCGCGTAATATATTATATCTACTGTTCTACGGTTTTGCATATCGAGGTATGTTTTTTTCGCGTTATTTAACAAAATGCTATTAAAATTATTTGCAACAGTATATTAAAAAATATATACATATATATTTTGCGAAAAAATATTTTCCAATTTTTTCAGGGATGATCAACATGCTTATATGACTTATTGTGAGACATCTCTGAAAAGCGACGATGTACTCGCGCTAATTAATTATCTTTCCGCAAGATAAATCGCGCATTTATCACTCTCATGTTTACATAGTTGAGAGTGAATCTGGGCAACTGTAATTATTACCCGCGGACGGGCTGTTTGCCAAATAACCGTAAGCTTGTGTAATTGCGAAAAGTCCATGGTGACGTTTAGTTTGGCAACTCGTTCTAATTTCCTGTGCAAGTTAATTCGAAAGTATCTTTGAAGCAGCGCACGTATCTGATAAATTATCTCGATGTACCTCACAATTACGAAGGAATTTCTCTTTAAAGATTCAATAATTAGCGATAAATTGTAAAAGTACGCATATAATGAACACCGAATCAATTAGCAAAAGCCCTATAAATCAAATCTTTAATTAAAAATTTAGAAATTTCTCGAAATCAAGTTCAAAAGAGATAACACAATCTACACTATTTTATATTAATTTAAAAATAATACCTCTTCAAATAAAAATCTTGTAATGTCGATATCTTTGGAATTTCATGCACATATGTACGTAATATTATATATCTTTGCGATTTATGCAAATTGCGTTTCAGTAATGCAAATAGTCAATAAAACTTTATATTTTGTATTATCTAATAATATCATATGTGAATGAAAGCTTAGTGCAAGCTAGCTAGTTGAAAGTGTAATCTTGAATAATAAAAAAGTTATACAGAGTTAATATTAAATTTTTATAGATCTATTTAAACTTTGAGTAAAAAAAATTTACTTTGAATTATTTACATAATCTGCAATTGTCTTCTTATCATGCGTAATTTAAAATTATGAAGAAAATCCACTACAATCCGTTCTCTTTTCTTACGCCGTTGTTACTATATTATCTATGCAGGTAATGAAGTGAGACGAGAATGAAAAATAAGACAACACGCTTACATTCTAGATAAAGTTGTTGTCTTGCCAAGAATTACTTCACTTTCTTAGATTGATGCCATCAATCATTCTTGAATATTTTAAAGAACTAAATTGTGATTGAAGTACAAAATCCAGAGAACGTTTTGTTTTGAAGACTATTTAGAAACTTAAATTAAAAAAAAAAAAGAATTTTTTTTGTAATAAATCTGAATCGTAAGTAGCATTGTAGTAAATGTATGTATCCATCAAATGTATGTATACATCTGAATAAATATATTAAAGTAAAGAATTTAATACATTAAACGATAGATTAAAAATCCAAATAGAAAAGCATCACTATCTGAATTTGTAATTTTAAAATCCGATTTATATGATCCATTCATCTGTTTTATACCTATTATATATTTGATAGGTAATAAAGACGTTATCAAAACAGTATTATTGGACCGTGATGTGAAATATATGTATGTCTTATTGGACTGAAGAATGCGTAAATATTTTCAATTCTGACACGCAAGCTTATTTATGCGCTATCGGCAACAAAGAGCGTGATCACGCGTATCTCACGAGACGATCCACCGTGTACTGAGGACGCAGACCATGTACGAAAATACATTTACTTGGAGCAAGAAGATAAATCGAGGTGGCGGCGGCGAGAGGCAGTCGTTGCTTCGTTGACCTCTGTTCAAATTAGAATAATGCCGCGAAGAGAATATTATACCGGCAGAACGTAGTGGGAAGTTTTCCCAAAAACATGGTTAAATGTCAAAATATAAAGTTACAAATCTCTATTGTTATCTTAATCGATTATCTACTTATAATATATATCGCTATTTTGGAATAATCCATTATGATTATACTTTTTGTTCAAATTTTTTTATTCATACAAACAGCGAATACATATTATTTTTCTCTTTTTATCTTTATATTTTATTTTTGTTCACGTATTTATTTCTTTTTCTTTTTTCATCCGCTCTACTGTACGCGCGTGGCATTTCGTTGTCTCGGTCTCTCGCAGCTCGAGGTTGTCTCATCTCAGAAATAATTGCCAAGTATCGAGAAAACGCACGCGTCTCTCCTCACAGCGTGTCACACGTCGCGTGTGCGACATAGCACAACGAAAGTTCTCGGTCGAGTCCGATTTCAGTGGGGCTTCAGTTAAATTCGGACCTCACCGATTCGTAGACCGGCTTATTTAGAATTTAGGTTTGCGACGGTCAACGGGAACTAGAAAGGCGGAAATAGAGCGGTTCCAAACATTTCGTTCCTTTCGTGACTTGTACGATGCAAATAAGGGGAACATAGGAGGTAATCGATAGGTTTCCCTATTATTGTATCATTGAAGAACATTTCTAGAGGAGTCACCAAGAGAGTTAAAAAATAAACTGCCACATTGATTCCTCTTAAATTTCATGAAAACTACGTTTCTGCATGTTATTTATCGCACGATTACAATTATTCATTAAAATCTTTCGTATCCATGAGACTATATTTTATTATACAGGGTGAAGCACTAAAAACTTTGCACATCTTAAAAAACTTGTAAATTATATGTTGTATGCAAAACTGTTATATATATACAAATGTACATGACTTCACGAGAGTTGAGGATTATTACAAATCCATATATATCTTTTAAATAGAGGCGTTTCAAAGATTTCACGGTCAAATTCGTTTTCTAACTAGAATTATGACTTTTTTGTATAAATAAACACATGTTGCTTTTCAAAAAATACATAATTGCATATTGCAAATTGTATAATGTATTTTCTTTGCACCAATTGATTCATCTCATTATTCTAGGCATAAAAGTATTAAAGTATACAAATACCAAAAAATAAATGGTTTACAAGCTATCTTATATTTCATGCATCAGAATAAAGTATAAAATATTTTGTAAACTATTGATTTTTGTTTTCTATTTTTATTTCTATTTCAATGCTTTTTACGTAGAATAACTAAAAGAATCATATTATGCAAAAAAATCAAACAATTCTATTTAAAAAAACTAAGGTAATTTCGAAACGCCTCCATTTATAAACAAATATATAGGTACATTATGTAATGCTCCCGCGAAATCATGCAACCTTTAATTGTATGTAACAATTTTCCCATACAACGTATAATTTACAAGTTTTCAAGGTGTGCAAGTTAGATACTTCACTCTGTATATAAATGATATTGAGAAAAGTGAAAAAATAAAGAAATAAAGTGCGCAAGCGTGGACACTACTATATATGCGACAATGCAAACGGGAACATGGTCATAAAAAAAAATCACCTAAATGAAAGAAATTATTAGCTTTAGCCTCTCTTTTTATTCACATTTAAAACACAATCGATGAATGTACAATTTAAAAAGAAGCAGCTAGTAAGTAAGAATTGCAGTTGCTAAATAAACTGATCTTTATTTGAAGCTGTTAAAAGGGCATATGATACATAATTATATCAAAAAAATTTCGAGTGCACTATAAATTAAAAAGGCACGAGCATAGAAATACTTATAATAATTCAATAAAAACTGAATAACGAAGAGGAAAGAAAAAACTATCAAGTAAAAATCTAAAAAAAATATATAAACATGTACTAATATATTTTTGTAGATCCATAAAAAAGACTCGAAACGCGATGAAATTTCCACGCGGAAAGCACCTTCGGTTTTCGCGAAGAAAATTATTCTGAGAAAAAGAATAGAGATAAAATATTTTTCGTAGATAAATAGAATTTTTCTTAAATCTTTAAATAAATAAAATAAACGTTTATTATAAGTGTATATAATACGTAAATAATGTGAGTTAAATTAATGGCTATTTAAAATAATTGTTACATAGTGAATATAGTAGAAGCAAAAGAAAAGAAAATGTCTATAATACCCTCATGCACAGGGTAATGAGATGGAACAATTTATAAAGAAACGTAGTTGCCTTTTAAACAAAATTGCAATTGCTTGTTATAAATTAAATATTTGAGCGTTAGTAGCAATTACGTACAATCTGATCTCGATAAAGCTGCAGATAATTGAAAAGCTTTTCTTTTTAAATAAACAATTATCAAATTATAAATAAAATTATCGCAGATTTTCGAATCAAGTCTGAAAAAAAAGTTTTACAGAGAAATTGTGCTGTATATTCTGGAGTCTGGATAATGGGAAGATTACCTAATTTCAGACAAATTGATTGATATTCAAGTTGTTTAAATAAACGAGAGCTTCTACAAAGAAAAATGTTGAGCAACTGAAATAAATGGACCTAAGGTTTTGTAGGACAAGTTCAACGGATGTAAATACGATACAAATTTCACCGTTGTTATCATTGTCATCGTCATCACCACCACCACCGCTTGACGTTCGTAGCCTTTGTATTCTTCACTTAGAGGGGATAGAGCCTAAGTTTAGACCCGGCGAGACTCTGGCCGAGTCAGTGTGAAACCACCATCCTCAGAGAATCATTTTCTTCGCGAAAATCGAAGGTGCTTTCCGCGTGGAAGTTTCGTCGCGTGCGTTTTGGTCGGCGAGAAAGCTCGTCGTACGGTTCGGAAGAACATTTCCGTCTTCCGCGGACTCGTGACCAAGAATTTTACATCTCGCGAAGAAAAATATAGAGAGGGAATCCGAGAGAGATTATCACGATGGCGTACAGCTGGGATAATCGCGTTAATTTCATAGTGAAATTTCTGTACGGTTAGTAGATGCGGAGGATATTGCAAGGGTGATCGGAGTAGATTCATCAAGACAGAGGAGGACAACAATTAGAAAAACGATGTGGTTGTCGTACGAAGAGGCAGCGCCTATACACGCTACAAAATTACGATTTGAAAATTGGAAATGAATGGTGACTCCTTATGCAAAAATAAATAAAAAAGTAAAATAAATAAATTTCTTTTATATAAAATTTTGTTTTGCCAGGAAAAATGATATAAAAATTGTGACAAAGTAAATTGATATTTTTCATTTTATTAATTAATAAAATATCTCCTCTGATAAATGTGCATTAAGTCTTGCAAATGCATTCCCTTGCATTGTCTTACATACTTCATGTGTTTTTCTTTCACATGCGTGTGTAAATCGTGACATATATATGGTAATTGATAGTAATATAATATGTATAAAGAGGGATGTCTCAATCCTTAAGTATAACATAAGCATTAAATATAAGCATTAGAGAAGAAGATATAAAGCATGACTTATTGTCATTTTTCACATAGAATTATAATGATAATTGAGAAAAAATATCTTAATTTTTCAAGGTAACTTTAGAAACATATTTCTTTTACAGAAATCGATTACTTTATATATATGTATATTTATTATTAATATGTATATATTTTTTTTCTGCAGCTAGAATGATGGAAAGAATTATGAAAAGATTACAAGGTTTTTATATTAAAAAGTACATGTTTTACATAAAAAGATAGAATCATCAATCAACTTTTTCATTGTTCTACGTATAAAAAAAGACAAAACATTTTATTAAACATTCTACAAAATATTTTTTGTTATGTGATAATAGAAATATAAAATATATTTGATAAAATATGCACTTTTCCATGATTTACTTAAATCAGTTTGTATATGGAGAGTAAAGTAAAAAATCGATCTAATAATAAGAAAAAAAATATTTTATATGCTATTTTATAAAAACTCAATTTTTAAACAATTTCAAAAAAATAATCTAGGAAAAATTAAAGAAAATGTCTGTATTTTTCATATATTGTCTTACTGTTATTCATTACTACATATTATGTATTATCATTCATCACTTACTGTCAGTCATTACTACAAATTTACTATAAAAATAGCAAAACATTTTTTGTTATATTTTTTCTTCTATTTGATTATTTTAGTTGTAAAATAATCTGTAAAATAATTCTATATATTATAAATAAAAAATTTAACAAAATTTGTTAACAAAAAGCATCGTGTGTTTCTTATATTATATAAAATGAAGTATAGAAACATATATAAGCATAGTTTTATTAAGAAAAAGTTGACTACAAATTAATCAGGCAATATTCAACGGTATATCATGTAGTAAAAGGTGACACTTCTATTCATAAAAACTCAGTTTTTAAACAGTTCAAAATAAGTGCGTTTAGTGAGAGAAACATCCTGTATAACTGCAGATATTGATAACAACGGGTACTTGGACAAGCATGATTTCGAGTGCATGGGATTAAGAATGACGCTGATCGAAGGCAAGGGCGAGTTCAATTATAGTCGGTACCAAGAAAATCTTCACATCATGCATTCTTTGTGGGAGGAAATAGCTGATTTGGCAGATTTTGATAAGGTATGTCACAACATTGTCTCTATATAACAAAACAGACACCGGCTATCTTTCCTGGCACAATTTAAATCTTACACCGGTTTCGAAATTTTTCGAATTCTTAGTCGCTCAAGACTTGTAATTCGCAGTCTTTGTAATAAACTTTTTTACGTTTCAAGATAATTAACTATTAAAATTAATTAAGATTTTATGTTCAATTTTTATCGAAAATTAATTTGAAATATAACAGACAAAAAAAATGTTTATAAGAGCTTTGTATCATAATCATGTATCTGAACATATAAGTAAATGATTAAAGTGTTGAACTTAAATATGTATATACCATTGATTTAATCAATTTTAAATTTATTTAATACTTAAGAAAAAAACAACAAATTTTGTAAATATAACAATGCTAAATTTTATCAAGATTAAATATAATTATTGGTAATTATAGTTATACTAAATACTTTTGAAATATTTAATTAAAAATATTTTCCAAATTCTAATTCGTTAATATATAATTGTTAATATATAACGAAGAATATTAATACTTAACAGAAAGGAAAATGTAAATCTTTCATAATATATTAAAAAAAAGATGATACCATTAAGATTTATATTAAGTATTCCTTTTCCAGGACGGCCTAGTAACGATAGAAGAATTTAAAAAGGCTGTGCAAAGTAGTTGTGTTGGCCGTTCTTATAACGATTTTCCTCAAGCTATGAAGATGTTCATCGATAGTCACTTTAAAATACTTGACATAAATGGTATTGTATAATATTTATAATTAGACAAAAATTATAATTTGAACTAGACCCCGTTTTTATAATTAACGTAGGAAATATATTGTGTAAAATAATATTAATAATAAATAAATAAATAAAAATCATAATTCTTTATGAAATTAGACCAACGAAAGGAATTGACATCAGATTATTTTGTGAAATAATGAATTTTTAATTTTTATAATATCTATTCCAGAGGACGGCGTAATTGGTGCTGAAGAATTTCGATATGATTGTGCTTCAAGAATTGCTGTAGACAATGTAGATGTCCTTGATAAAGCTTTTCAAAGTCTTTTAAATGTAAGTAAAGTACCTTGATTATTTAAATAAAATTAAAATTTCTTTTTTTCTCTCTCTCTCTTTCTTAACTTATGAATAAACTAATATCTGTTGCTTTAAAGAATTAGAGTGCGTTCAGATTCCCTTAGATGCACCTATTGTATAATTTTATTATTTTTATATCCTTGTTTAACATTCGGTAAACAACAAGATAAAATGATAAATGGTACTACACTCGGTTAGAGAATCTGAATGCAGCCGTAATGTAAAGCGGTAATGTCTCTCCTAGCAATAAATTTTTTAAATGTGTAAGTACATTTTATTGGAAGATACGTAATTTTATTTTTAATTTTATGGATAAATAATTAAGATAAGAACGTAATTATAATATAACAAATTACGCTAGTGCATTTATTATTTCATTAAACGAACTTTTATCGTACTTATTCGTTTGAAAAAAAATTTAGAAAATTATCATAAATCCTGGGGATAAAGATTTAAGTATAACCGTATACTTTCCATGGGGATGTACACATTAATTTAAAAAAAAAACTATTTTAAAATAGTTCAAGTACTTCATTACGTTAACAGGATGACGACAGAAGACGCGGTGGATTGACCTTATCACGTTATCAAGAATTATACGCGCAATTTCTCGGTAATCCTGACGACAACTGTCCAGCAATCTACCTTTTTGGGCCAATAGGACAAGAGTCATAACTGAAATACTCACCGTTTCGAAACGACATAAATCTTTATTATAAAAAATTTATTTTAATAAAAGATAAGAAAGTGCCGAGTACGCACTCCTTGAAAAATAACTGCTGTACAAAATTATTAAAAAAAAATAAAACCCAAGTGGTAGATATCTTCGTATTCATTCAAAGCTCCTTTTTATTCCAATGGCACTATTTTTAATTCTTCTTTAAAAAATAATGATATTACTAAATCGCGCAAATTAAAATAAAATTTATGCATATAAGTTAATTTAATATGTATTTTCGAATTCTCACTCAAAGATCATTTTGTTTCAATTCAAGTGAAAATACCTTTTGTTTTCTAAATCTAAGATATACGTTTTTAAATTTTCGCTAAAAGATAGTTTTTCGTTTTAACTCAAATATTTTTTTATTTCAATAAAAACGTCAAAAATATTGATATAAAAATCTTGGCACTGCTAGAACAAATATAGTTAAAGCCTGTTTTCGTCTATGTAGTTTTCATGATTCTTTATCGTAAGTAGTTGCGCCACTTACTGAAAAGTTTCAAATGAATTTCGATCATGTTCTCTCTTCAAATATTATTCCAAGCTATTTGTAATGCTTCAAAAAATAATTTTTCATTTTTTAAATTAATCTCACGCATCGGTCTAATTTCTAATTTATTCAATTAGACGAAAATAAGCTTTATTAAGGCCAAAGTAGATTGTAGAAAGCAAGTTATATTATTATTTTTTTATTAATACTTCAAAGTATTTTGTGTTTCAATAAATCAGAATTTTCTTCAAAAAAAAAACGTTAGTTATTTTGTTAATTAATCACGACTTTTTGCATTTATTTCTAGTGCGTCCAAATTTTTTACCGATACTCTGTCGCGCGTGCGCGTGCGCGTAAGCACAATACAAAAGTACGAATTACCACAGACATTATATACAGATTCTCTAAAATATAATTAAACGAAATAACATAAGGCAATTATGGTACAAACAAGAGAAAATTTATTTGTATTTATGTGACAACACAGTACGCTTTTTGTATGCTATTTGCTTTCCTTTTTCTTCCTTTTGCTATTTATCTGTCATTACAATTTAATTTGACGCTTACACTTTCTCATTTTTTTCACAATATACTTTATACTTATATCGAAGCTTCTATTGATATGCATTTCGTCATATACAGTGCAGTGTAAATCGAAGATCAATTACGATTAGTAACTCTCTTCGAATGGACCAGTACGGTATACATTAAATTTAATGAAAGGTATCGCTTCATATGTATATCGAACACACGTATATGTCCGCCAGACACAATATAGTAAACTTGTACATTTTATGACATATTTTTATGTATACGATTCATAACATTTAACGCAGCCGTCTCTCTTTTCTGTCGTGTCTTATACATTCATTTGCACGCGAGTACATATATCGCAATAACAAGAAATATTAACAACATCGTATCTAGCGAGCTCCTTTCTTTCATAATTGTACGTACTGCTTGAGTAGTATAAAAGTTACACTCTATATAAAACGTTCAAATCCGTGACGAGATCCGTTCTTTCAATCGGGAAGTAAGCATCAAGCACATTAAGAAACACATTGATGTTAGTGATTAATTCGCCTGCTATAGCTCTTGTTATGTGTATTGTACACAAACAAAAGACACTGTTGCAAAATTTGCTGCACATATCCAGCGAAAGCGTCATAGAGAACTTACACTGACTGAAAGCGCACTAGTAAATAAAGTTGGCAAATCTACCTCCGCATTGGGAACCTAGAAATTTAAACTCTCTATCCCAGTTTCTTCCATTTGACGAAAATCTTATATAATCCTAAATATTTGGCTAAATCATAATAAATTCATATCTGAGTAATCAACCAGCGATCGCATTTCTTGTCGATATACATTCGTTTCAACCTAATGCGAGAGTTTATCGAAGGAAAATGTACTTGAATACATATCTTGCGACTCTCTCTCGATTAATAATAGTTTTAACTATTCATGATACAACAAGCATTGATCGTGTTTGAACTGATCGATTGCTAGGATCGATAAGAAGATTCGTATTTCGTTCCTTTGAGGTTTCTGCTTACTAAGGATCACAAAACAAAGTTCTTACACAATTTTTATATGTAGAACGTGTACAAACTGTAGTATACAAAAATCTAATTATTAAAAATAAAGTCATCTTTTGTTAACAGTGTTCTTAATCTCTTAAATTTAGATATTTTAAAATTTATGTATATATACATATATGTATAAAACCATGCTACGTGAGATTCTAAGCTATATTTAATATTAACTGCCCCATGTAATTTATCTAACTTGTCTTTATAGGCTAAAAGAGATGAGAGGTTCACGCATTTATTTCTTCATTTTAGTAATGTCTTAATCCCATCGATGATTATTCTCATGTTTGATTTGAGGCAGCGACTCTTTTAACGAAGTAATTTACCACTTTGTAATTTACTGCAACAAACTTGATTTATTTCCGGTCATCCAAATAAGTGTGTACCTATACATTTAAGTTTTACTTCTGAAATCTTATTACTTTATTCTACTTTTTTATGAAAAAGACAAATACATTTTTCGTTATAACGAATTTGACACAATTTTTCATGTATACTTTCACACATACACAGACATGTAGTCTGTTTTTTTTCAAAATTTAATAATTCTAACCACAAGAACTTATTTTATTTTCTGCATAGTTCCGCGTTATAGTATTAGAACAAATGCTTTAAAAAACAATAGAGAAGCAGCTATGTTTTGAATAATTATATACAATCAATACAAAGTTTTAGTCAACTAAGACAAAACAAAAGAAAGAATATTTGAAAAAACTTAGATTTAATATTTTACGAGTCTTTACGTATCATAGATATTTAAGTTGTCTGAATATCTAATTATATAATAATTATTTATATAGAGTAGAGACGAAATCGAACATGCGAATGTACAAGGATTGTTTGCAAAAAATAATTTCCAAAGCTATGTAATAAAAATACTTGTGTGAAAAATATTTGAATTTCAGACGTAATATTTCCCGTTGATCCATAGTAAGCTAACGACAAGGGAACAAACTATTACTTTGTTTAACCTTAATATCTTAACATGTCATAAATTCGGAACTTGGCAAAGCAAGACGATACTTACTTAAGGAATAGACAAAACTCAAATCTAATCGACAATACTGATAATTATATTTCACGACGGAAATTTAATCCTTAAGTAACATGGTGAAGAAACTCATAACATTCATACCATTCAAGAGGATATACACTCTCACACATGTAATCATATCAATAATTAGTATATGGTAAATTAATTCTGCGGTGGTTTCTTACTTATCAAATATTCATTAATGGAATTCTTACATCCTGAAGCCGAAGATAATCATATAAAAATCCAAAATAGTTTCAGATATATTGATGTAAGTGGTAAGAGAACAGAATAATCTGATAAGATTCCGAATTGAACTTGAATGAATACAACTTCACCATGAAACTTGCAGATTATTGTGAAACTTGAATCCTGATATAGATATCATTCTTATTTGTGAATATCAATATCGATTGTATGTGATGTTAAGTTTTACTTAACTTTTATATCTTATTTTGATTGTGGACGGCATATAAACAATTTAATTGTTATAAATATTTAGTTTTGATGATTGATTTAATAATTATATATATATATCATTCTAGCTACATAAAATTTTGAAATGCGGTATTATTTTTGATATTATCGCTAAAATAAACAGTTGTAAGAATTATTTTACAAATAATACTGTAATTTCTTAGATAATTTATATATTGGAAAATTCAATATTGTTTTAATATTAATTTGTCAATTATCAATATTTCAATGCCACACTTATAAGTTATAATTGGATATCGATATCAGAAAAAGGATTCATGTCACAATTAAGAAATACATTAAAAATAGGAAAATGCATTTTACATCCGTCACGTTTAATACATTTTCAGTAAATTTGCTTAACGAATAGTAAGAAAAACAAAAATTCTTCGTTCTATATAAATTATTCTATCTAAAATTGATCGCGCGTATGATTAAGCGTTCGCGATTGCGAAACATTTTAATTTCGAATACAGTCTGTGAAGATCTAATATTAAATTAAAAAAAAAAAGAAAGCCTTGCCCAAAATAAATATGCTAAAAATGACGAAGACCTAGAACTATACAAATTTATTTATCGCTAAAATATAATGTGCCAGATATGAACGTAGATGGACATGTTCACCAGTCTCGAAGAAATTTGGTAGAAACAATTCGCGTTAAACTTTCTATATTTCGGAGGAGAGACGAACTTGTGAATCTCTCTCTTCCTCTCGGCTCAGAGATAAAAGACTCTATTGACACTTATTGTACAGATTCATTTCAGTCCTTCTAAGTACAAAAATTGCATCCGATTATATCGGCAACAACTAATTCTTCGTTAGAATGTTATATGGTGATCAGTCGCATCGCTGGAGTTCACACTGGCGTAGGAAGTGGACGCGCGTTGTTGGTTGTCGTTTTGGAGTAGAGGAGAATCCGGCTTGTCACGTTGGTGACGCCTAGCTTCGCTTTCGCTCGCGAGTTCGCGGGCTCTTCTACGCCCTCGGCGCGACATCACGCCTGAAAGAGAGAAGCATATTTTTAAGTATCTTTAAATCTCCATCCCATCGATCCATTTAATCTCCCATCGCACTGTGTGATTACATTAAAATCTGTATGACTAAGTTTGTGCTGTTGTGTGATTACATTGATCGAAACAAATTATGTACTTCTTTTTGTGTACGTGTAAATTTCTGCGTGTCTGCAACATTTCTATTTCAATATATACAAGAAGCAACTCTAATTATAACACAAATCGATATCAAACATAATATTAATATGCATTAACAAGTACACTCGCATTCAAACTAAAAAATAAATCGTCAAATATTTCTTTAAGTAATAAGCGTGACGATGCGTATTTACAAAATATAACATGTATGCACATTACAAAATTTCGAAAGATTCCCTTTAAAGAAATAAATTTTCTTCATTTTTTTAGATATTAGCATAAGTTATCTATAAAATACACATTGTATTTGCCGATACATACATACATACATACATACATATATATATATATATTGAAAACCATAGAAAAAAATTATACATTTGCTATAAAATAGTTTTAAGATTTACTGTCAAGTTTTTCATACATTATTGTCTATTACATTTTAATGTAAAAAGAAATATAATATATAAAAAATATATTTTCATTCATGTATAGCAGCAAAGTGATATAAACTTTAATTTGAAATGTGATGTAAAATAAATTAAATATTATAATTTATATGACACTTTATTTTATAAACACTCACTTTATTTATCTACGTCTATTTATCTCTAAGTATATACTATTTGTATAATTTCTCTCGAATGACATCTTTTGCAATTATATTTCGTCACTCATATCATTTATTCACTATCTTCCACTATGTTCATATCTCTATTATATTTGTATAATTCGATGGAAAATTGCAATGTATTGACAAATACAGGCTTTCCGTTCGGGAAAACGCGCTATCAACATTATTTCGTCATTCTATATCTCTTCATTTCATATCTATAATAAATGACAAAAATAGAATGACGCAATAACGCTGATAGCGTGCTCCCAATATTCATATTTATCTTCAGTTAAAGTAAAATATTAAGAAAGTACATCACGATCATCTTAAATTTTAAATCACACCAAAAAATATTGAGAGTTTCAATAATCTAAAAATAATTTAACATTATACGAAAAAAAGGTGAAATTGCAATGTGAGCACCACATAAAGTGATCTTTCTATAAATTTTTCTTTTTCATCATTGATAATATTTTTGTGTTTCCATATCCCTGTACACTTATTACACTTGTACTATTGTACAATTAATAATCTTGTAATAGCATAAAATCTACATTTTCTAGTAATTTGATTACAAAATTCGACAAAGAATTATTCGATTATCGATCGATAATATCGTATAATCCTAAAGATATTTTATATGCTGCGATGCATACGTAATTGTATGCTATGCAACATATATACAGTTACATTATAGGAAATATAATACATAATGCAACATATCTTTTAAGTATTAAGATATGTTGCACACCAACTAAATAATGACAGGCACAAAAACACAATAGCACTAACATACATAAGGCGAGGTAAAAACTATAATCACTTTTAATATCTTCGAAAGCGTCGAGATTAGAAGAAAAATTTGTTTCATAAAAGTTGCACGATACGCAAAAGAGCGGTCATCATACAGCGGTAATGTTTGTATTTCTAGATCAAATTGTTTCCAAAAACAATCAAAAGCACATATTCTTTATAAATTAAATCTAATAGTTTTTTCTTTAATTTCTTATAGCGTCTATTAAAATACATGTAATAGCCATACAATATCAAGTCATTTAAAATTAGTAAAAATCAAACAATTTTTTATTGGCTCATATTTAGAAATAAATTAAAAACAAAAAGGAATAGAGACGAATAAAACGGAAAAAAAAAATGAAATATTAAAATACATATAGTCATATCATATATGCTGTTTTAATACTGTCAAACTAGTGATACGATTATATTTCAACATTCTTTGTTTGCTCGTTTTATTAACTTCTAGTTTCTTTTATTTCTAATTTATTAATGAAGATCATTTTAAAAACAAAAATATATTAGAATGTGCTACAATATTATCAGCTCTTAACTGATAATTCTGTCATTAACAATTAAAGAATCTATTAAAACATCTATTAAATCAATAATATTTTCATTATAACTTTGGCAATTCATTCATACAATTAAGGAATTAAATGAAATACAACAATATGATACAAAGATTACCACTATATGATGATACTTCCTCTGTATATTATACAATTTTTTCTTTTCTCCTATTTTCAAAGATATGAGATTGTAATAGTTCTTATCACACCATGTATAATATATAATATACGTATAATGTACACAAATAATATATTAATTAAACATTATAAATTAGAGTAGCATATTTCTAAAAAGCTTTCCATCTCATTAAAATAGTTAGAAACATCTCGAATACAAACTTTAAATGCATGACATTACTCTAAAAGAATTTTAATAACACCACAATTAGTAAGTTTTCTCAAATTAATATATACAAGCTAATATATATAGAATAATTATAACCTTTGTCCAGTTTTAAATTTTCATAATTTCCGTTCAATATGTATATATTCAATTCTGATAAAATTGATTTGTAAAAAACCATTAGAATTACAATTTAAAGTGAAATTTTATATGCATTAAGAATTATCTATTTGTAAAAATTTACAAGAAATTTTCTTTGTTTACATATTAATTTTATCATACATATAGATTGGGAATTATAAAAGTTTAATAATAAAAATTGAAAAGTTTTCATAGCTATCTAATATAATGCAATCGGTTAGACTGAGTGTGGGTTTTATAACAACTTAAACAAGATTACATATATGTTATTTACTGTTATGAGTACCAGCATTATTTTGTTAGGCATGGAAATGCGTACATGCAATATTTTCCTGCAGAATTTTTTCAAGAATTTCTTTAAATCTTAGACTTAAAAATTAAAAGATTGCATTTTCTTATATAAACTGTAAAAAATGAGAAAAATAGAATATAAATTTTTTTTTCAAAATTTGAACTCAAATCTTGCAAAAGAGTTCTAAATTATCATATAAGGAATACTGCATTGACGCAAGCAAAAAGTGCAATTATATACTTTCTACATCTGTTTATCAATATTACAAATTCTTTGTAATATTGCACAAATATATGTTAAAAATAAACTAAAAATTATACAAATGTTAATACATGTTAAATAAATAATACATATTCATAATAATTCTTATAATTCCATATACATATGTGTAGGAAAAGAAAACAACGTGCTTGAGGGACTTTTGTAATTTTAAAATAGACATAAAAAAAAACATATAGCTTGGCAAACTATAACTGAGAAAAAATATATAATATTATTTAATTCGTCTAACTTATATTTAAATAAAAAATTTTAATAGGAACAAATATTTGTAATATATCTTTGAAAGAATTGCACTTTCTGTAGATGCATATTCACACGTGCTAAAAATAACATTGAATCAACAGTTTAAGTGATATTTTAAGACTCACTTAGACTAACTGTGCAAAATGAACGACATGGAAAGTACGATGAAAGATTTTGATAGAAGAAAAAAAATACTAATTGTAAGAAATTTTACCACATGTCAAAACATGGACGTTCCGTTTTTATATTCAGATGCTCTGCATACCTATCTGTCACATTCAAGCACTTTGAATGTAGGTGTAGTTGTAGTGGGTGTAGGAGAATTGTGTTTGCTTACACGATGATTCAAAGATGTCTCTTGCACGTTGTCCAGATTTCCATGTATCGCTCTCTTATGGTTGGCCAATTTCTCTCTGTTCATGGGTGAGCCTAGAACCACCAGGGGCCATGATGCCAGTCCGCATTACTCAAATAACGTACATTTAAAAAACACGATTCTTCTCAAAATGAAGAAAGACTAATTGTAAGCGCAGACGTTAGTAAAGAGCTTTAGCACAGAAATATTTCGATGCAATATTTGTTACTCTTTGTCGAATTTGTAAAGCTGTTCGTATTAAATAAGAAATAAGTTCAAGATTTTCCATTTACAATAGGGATATGAAAGTAAAATCTTAATTAATATAACATTGATAAATAAAAACTAAATAAAAACGATTATTTGTTTTTTCCCTTTTCGTTTCGTTCTCAAAGCACTAAGATGCTTGTAATATAAAGATCATTTTTTTAGGATTGCAATGGCTATTCGTAAGACTATGCTATTAAGTGTATCCAACAATAAAATGTAAATTTACATAAATACATTTCATGCAACATAAAGCGTTAATAGTACATTACATATATAAATATATATTATCATATAAATAAAAAATTTAGAAACAAATATACACGTACACAAAACATCTTTTTTGTAGAAAAAAACTATAAAATCATTTTTAGCTGAAATGTCAAAATCTATTTGATAGATACCAATAATAATAGATCAATATTTAAACAAAGACATTTGGATTTTGTGTTTCAAGTCAAGTTTTTGGTAGTTATGCTGTACTCAATTTAAAATGAGGAAATTCGCGGTAGTAAATGTCTTATAATACAAAAGATATGAAGAAAGCAAGAATTTATCCTTATTTTTTTCCAATATTTCAGACATAAAATTATATAAATATATATATTTTAACATCAAAATATCATACTTTTCGTTCAATTTCCATTTTCAAAGTTATATTTCCTCACCAAATAGTATATAAGCATAAGATGAATATAAAATAATATATGCTGATGCAGAAAAGACTAAAGTTACTGAAGAATGTAACGTAGCCTTTTCTGGCATGCATATAAATATATTAATAAAAAATTGTATACATATATAACAGCTATCATAAATATATACATATAATATGACAGCACCTTCTTACCTATGTAACTTAGTAGTACTGGCAAAAAGATGAGACCATGCGCCGCTCCAAATAGTACAATACCCAAATACATTCTGAAGTAAAACACCTGCAAATATCTCTTAGCTGAGTAATTCTGAATAACTTTATACACTTCAAATATATAGACAACAGAATACCAATTATCGACATTATAATGATTAATAATACAAATATTTAAAAAAATGCTTTTAAAGATCGAGAAGACATAAATAATAAATCAAATAAATATACAATAAATACTTTAATATTTTAAATTACTTAGACTAAAAGCTGAGCATTTTCTGATTAAATAAATAATGGCAATTTGAATTGTTGGATAATTGGTGTTCTACTTAGATATAATAAAACAAAGATCAACCTGGAAAATTTGACTCTTTGCAAAGCCCAGTACTATAATACCGCCAAACTTTGTCAGTGTGATACCACTGAATACTGAACTTCCCATATTTGTCAATGCATCTGCGACCCTTTCAATCCTAGTTGCTTGAACTGACACGGAGAAGGAATGTACTAGATGACTGCAAAACTCGACAGCTATACCAACTGCCTGTAATAGAAATTAGCATTTAGATGATACACTCTCGACAATTGTTATGTAATGGATTTTTTTAACTCTTCTCTTTAACATTTTTATGTTTTTTTGTTTTCTTTTACTTATTCTTGCGTTAATATTATAAATATTGTTAAAAAAAGATATATAATTATACGATAAATATATATTCGAATTAAAAATATAAACATTTAAATCAATTTCTTAAAAAATGAGAAATTCTATGACAATTAAAGAGCTTGCTTCAATAGTGGGCTAACTCACATTTTGTAAAAGCGGAGAAAATAAACTTTTCAAAGTTAATGTAATGGAAAAATACATCTATTTTTACTAATATCACCCATATTCAGCTACGTTGTGGATTAGCCCATTTTTGCAACAAGCCCTTCAATTTTTAAATAAAATTGTAAATAAAATTGATTTGTAAATAAAATTTTATCAATATCCTATAGGGTGAGTACTCAAATCTTGTAAAAGAATTCCCTGAAAATTCTCAGATTTTTTAGGAATTTTATTCAAAATTCCGGATGAGATTAGAGAATTTTTCAATACAGCTTTAAAATAAATTAGGCACTAAGAGTTCTAATAACGTATAGAACTTGATGCGTGAAATAATTTAATCTTCTCATATGTACAATAGTTACATCTCCATACAAAATTTTTCGAACGTAACGAAAGATTTTGTATGGAGATGTAACTACGTATGTGAAGATTAAATTGTTTTACGCATCAAGTTCTGCGTGATTAGACTCTTAATGCCTGATTTATTATTTCCGGATTATCATTCTTCAGATTGAAGAGTCTTTATATAGTATATGTCAATTTTAAAATAAATTAACTTTCAATATCGGGAGCTTTCGATATGGGGCCACGTTTACTTTCTAAAGGGATAAAATTAAATTTAAAAGTAAAATTCACAAAATTTCCCTGAGTATCAGTTTAAAATTCCATGCGAATCCATGATTTTCAAGGGTAAAAATGAAATTCCCTGAGAATTCCAGGTTTTCCCGGTTTTTCCCAGTAGTTCAATATCTCGGCCCGACCAAGTTTTCTTCTGGCGAAGAAATATATCGCAAGGGCGACAGGCATATTATTAGCCTTATATTAGC